CCCCCCCCCCGCCGCAGCAGCAGTGGATGACGGCAGCCATGCAGTATCCGGCGGCGGCGATGGTGATGATGCAGCAGCAGCAGATGATGATGTACCCTCACCATTACGTTCCGTACAACCAAGCTCCTTATCCTCATCTTCCTCACCATCCTCACTTCCAATACGCGCCTTATCAGCAGCAGCATCAGCTTCCTCATCATCATCATCACCACCATCAGCAGCAGCAGCAGAAGCATCTGCAGCGTGGATCTGGCGATGATGTGAAGACTCTCTGGGTCGGAGATCTTCTTCATTGGATGGACGATACTTATCTCCATAGCTGTTTCTCTCATACCGGCGAGGTGCGTATCTCTGGCTTTTCCATTGGTTTTATGATTTTGAATCATGTTTCCGTTTCATATATGACATTCATATTGGGATATGGTATGGATTTGTTTGGATCTCGATGTACGTGCGTGCCTTTTTGGACCCAGAATTTGTTCCGTGGAAATTCGATGAAAAATGATTGGTTTTGTGTCCTTTTGCAGATTTCGCCTTTTTTTCCCAAATGTTTTGCAGAGTCTCTTCGCCATTGGTTATTAAATTCTGCTCTGTAAACAACAGTTTGAGTGATTAATCAACAAATTTGAACCCCGTGAGATTTCTGAGAGATTGAAACCTTTGGATTTTCTTCATTGGGTTAAGGTTGAAACAGCCATTAAATATTTGCGTAGAAGGAAATAGGAAATGTTATTCCGGGTAACATGAAAACAGAGGTTACCTGAAAAAGACAACTCAAACTTCGCCAAGGCAAAAAACATGTACTTGTTGTTGTACCTTGTCATGCTTAGTCTTAGAGCTCTGTCTTTTGTTAAAAGAACGTCGTGTCTATATTTTAGCTCTCTCTGTAGCTAATGCGCTCTCATATTTGGTGTTCATGTAATTTTCTTTATGTTCTATTTGTCTCTGTGATGTACAGGTCTCCTCTGTTAAAGTTATTCGTAATAAACAAACTTGCCAGTCAGAAGGATATGGGTTTGTGGAGTTTTCTTCACGTGCAGCGGCTGAGGAAGTTCTTCAGAACTACAATGGTTCTCCGATGCCAAATGCCGACCAGCCCTTCCGTCTAAACTGGGCTTCTTTTAGTACGGGCGAAAAAAGGGTATCAGAAAATGGTTCTGATCTCTCTATATTTGTGGGTGATTTAGCTCCAGATGTCACTGACACTTTGTTGCTAGAGACCTTTGCTAGTGGATATCCTTCTGTTAAAGGAGCAAAAGTTGTGATTGATTCCACCACTGGTCGGTCCAAAGGTTATGGTTTTGTTAGGTTTGGTGACGAGAGTGAGAGATCGAGGGCTATGACAGAAATGAATGGTGTTTTGTGTTCGAGTAGGCAAATGCGCATAGGTATTGCTACCCCCAAGAGGGCTGCTTCTCACCAGCAACAATATTCATCACAAGGTACTTCATGATATATCTTCACGTTTTAATGCCTTTTTTGTAATTCAGTACCTCCTTTTTTCATGCTTCAATGGCGATTTTTTTTTTTCGATTTTTAAATAGCCGGGGGAGTCTGCAACTAGTTTTTTATTTCTTGTTTCTTCTCCTTTAACTGGCACTCTCTTGAATTTTATGTTCATTGGAATGGTAACTGGTGTTCCATTTCTGTTTCTTATCACCTTTGACTTGGTATGTATGAATGGCAGGCAGGCATATTATTGTTAATTGATATTAAAGTTTTTTAATGGCTTGTGTAATGATGCCATCAACATAGCTTTGATCAGTGAAGATTTTGTTGTTTACATTTGATTAGCTGTGATACTGGCTGGTGGGCACGGAGCAAATGGTTCTATTCCCCATGGCTCTCAATTTGATGGAGAGACAATTAACTCAACAGTGAGTTCTCTAAGCCCTTCTTGTGCGAAGTTCATTCAAATTTGATATGCCTTGTCACTTTCTCATTGTTCTATTTAGATATTCGTTGGAGGGCTTGATGCTGAAGTTACCGATGAAGATCTCAGGCAACCATTTTCACAGTTTGGTGAGGTTGTTTCAGTGAAGATCCCATTAGGAAAAGGATGTGGGTTTATCCAGCTTTCTAATAGGTGCAAACCCTCTCTTTTCTCTGCTTCTCATATTACTCTTTTAATAGTATAATATAGGGGTGACCAATTCGGTTAATAACTGAAAAAATCGAACCGAGTTATAGCATTTTGGTTTGGTTTGGTTACTATTACAATAATGATTGGTCATGCAAGTGAATAACCGCTCGGGTTCGGTTATTAACAGAGTGAAATCAGCTATTCAATAAATCGGTTCGGTTTGGTTTTGTTATTTCAATTTGGTGTAGATTTTTATTGTATATACATATTGATTTTTCTTCCATTAATACGTAGATACTGAACATTAAAATTAGTTTTCTTTATCAATTAGGCTAAGAGAAAAGATATTCTTGTTCGTTTTTTTTTATGTCAAGGCATATATACTGTTTCATATTTTAATCTTTGATTGTGTCAATTTTTTGTTTTGTAATTGTTCGGTTATAACCGAACCGAATTTTTGTTTGGTTATTGTTCGGCTGTTTTAGAACCGAACCAATTAGTATACATGTTAGAAAAGAAAACCGAGTAAATCTCTACCGATATAACCGAGCTGAAACTCGAAATTGCGACCCCTAATGTGGGATACCTCAATAAAAAAAAATCGGGTTGGTTGTGGCAGAAAGAATGCTGAAGAAGCCATCCAAAAGTTGAACGGTACAGTAATCGGCAAGAACACTGTCCGACTCTCTTGGGGACGAAACCCAGGAAACAAGCAGGTACTGTTCTTTCTTTCTTTTGGAGGAGATTATATTCTTTCTTTATCAGAAGATAAATGTCTGAATCGCACCAATCAGTTAAACATCGGTCTAATAGTTTTTTTCTAACATTTTACGGGTCATTTTTTTCCCCAAAAACCCTTTTCCTTAACATATATTCCATGAACTTATTGTGTCGCAGTGGAGATCCGACACAAGCCACCAGTGGAACGGGGGATACGCTCGTGGACAGGGTTTCAACAATGGCAACGGATATACTAACCAGGATTATGCTTCTCCTGCCACAATTCCCGGGGCTTCTTAAAGGCGAGTTTCGAATGGAATCGAGTCATTCGGTGTGGTAAGGGTTTAGGGTTTAGCTTTTATTCAAAGAAGGCTGAACCTGTGGTCCAAGGACAATTTTGTAGCTGGATTTTTAAAATGTTTGGTTTGTGCTTAGAAGATGAGAAAAAAGAACAAGTGAAAGGTTTTGAAGGGTCTGTCTGAGAGATGGTTAATCTCATCTTTTACATGGGTGAGGATGACAACGTTATTTATCTTTGAAGGTTTGGTTTGTTTGCTTGTTTGGTGTCGAAATTATCTATTCGCAGATCGATCTGGGGACCGAAATCATGGTAGGGGGTGGATACGGGTCGGGTATCTGAATTTTCCAGTGTACCACACGCCGGTCCCCTTATCGGTTGCCGTTGGACTATTTGATTTCAGTTTCCTAAAGATCGGGTATCTGAGTTTTGGGTCAACGACGGTGAAAGAGAGCAGCGAGACGTGGCGACGGAAACAGAAACATAAAGAGAACCGGGAGAAAACTCTACTAGACATATTAGTAGAAGAGGAAATCGACAGAAAAAACGATGCCGGGAAATGGCGAATCGCGACCGCAAAGAGATAAAGATCGGGTGTGCAAACAATTGAAATTAAACAAACAATTGAAATTAAATAATCATTTGATTATAAATTTTCGAAAATAATTGAATCTAAATTAATTACAATCGAATAAACTGAATCTAAATTAAGCATAACCAAATACAATCGTTCGTCTAGTATCATCGATTTTATGATATATAATTCAAGTGAGATATTTAATTTTTTTCTCAATACTTTTTTAAAATTTGTTTCATTTACTATTATAACGAAACTAACTTTTGATTTGATTATTATTTAATTACAATTTTAATTAGACATAATCGGACAGAATCAAACCATAATTAAACCAAACTAAACCGATTAAACCAAATAACGGTATAGATATGAGTATTCAAAACACCAAAATAACCACTCTAATTAGAAACTGAATAAATCGAACTCTAATTGTAATGAAAACTAGGGGTATAAATGTCTTTGGCTAACCCGTCGTCATTACTCATGCGGCGGCAAAACTTGACGTCTGGACCACCGGCGGAACTTCCATTTCACCGTCGTTTCTTTTTTCTTTTTTACCTCAGTTTTTTTTTCTTTTCAAAATTTAACACAAGGATTTTTTGTCTTTTCATAAATATTTGAAGATGTTTGTGTCTTTTGATATGTTGAATAATATTTTTTATTTAATTTTTTGTTAATAGTAGTAAAAGGATATATCAACTATTTTCCCCGACCACCCCGTGCTTGCATTCAGTCAAATACCCGAATTTTGGGTATCTTCTTCGAGATGGATGTATATCAATTTAAAAAAAAAAACTATATTTAATATATATTACTAGAAATGGTCTTGCAAATACATCAGGGTATAGACTCTGACCCTCCATTATTCAATAACTCTCAAAAGAAAAAAGAAAAAACAGATACAATATTATATAATCATAAAATCACTAAATGTCTCAAACTATTCTCATAAATTCTTCAACACATCTTATTTGGTGACGTCTCTGCTTTTAATAATAATAATAGTAGTAGTAGTAGGAGGAGGAGGAGGTAGATAATTTTTTTAGATGAAACCGCTAGGTGAAAAGGGTTTGCCTCTCCCCATGGTGAAGCCTCGTGTTCCGTCAGGCATCCTCGGACCCTTTGAAGCAGATTTTGGCGATGATTCGTGGTGGAAAACACCATTGCTCGACTGAGAGGTTGGCGACATGAGGCCGAGGCCGAGGCCGATGCCTCGTCCACTCCCGTAGCTTGTCTGGATTCGTCCACGCCCTCTTCCTCGCCCTTTCGCCCTGTTTTTCTGCAAAAAAAAAAAAAAAAAAAAATCAATCCCCCGTGAGAATATATACACAGACAAATATTGTATCATTATCTTGAATATTTGCAACTTTGGTGATACCATTTCGTGTATCGAATCATTGATGTAATTGGAAACTGTATAATAGAGCAGAAACACACTCACATCGCTCTCCAAAAGTGAATCGCTCGGATTGTTCTGAGACGACTCTTCTCCTGATTCATACGTCGGAGTTCCGTCGTCGTCGTCGAGAATTTCGTTAAAATCCAATCTTCGGCTCTTCAGCACCGATTTCGGCTGAAGAAAAAAACGTATCCGATCTCGAATTTATTCGAAACTCGAAGAGAAAAAACACTAAAACATATGGCGAAAGGGTTTGGCAGGAGATCATATACCGAACATCTAAGAAGCAGCCTCACTCTCAGCCCTTTCCTCCAGTTCCTTTCGTCGTTAAGCTTCTCGACCTGACAATCATATGTTATTTAGATTTGCTAATCTGAGAAAACAAAGACGCGGAAAAATGTATATAACAAGGTTTATAAGATAGATGAACTCACCGCTTTCTCGGCGATGTCGGTATTGTCATACTCGATTAGGGCATGAATCTTGGCAATATATGCATGAGAAACATACGAGAAATTAATGTCAAGTTCATGTGTTGTGCAACGTATATAAGAGGAAATACGTGGGGAATTTAGGCAAATCCTATAGATAATAGATATGATCGCACAATGTATATATATAGAAAATATGTAGAGCATCTATAGCTAAGCTCAAATTTGTGTACCTTGTTGCTCATAAGGAAATCGCCTTTTGAACGAGGGGAGTTGAATTCTTGGGGATGGCAGATTCGGATCGCTTTGACGCTGAATGAAACCGAAACTATTGTTTAGTACCAACGAGGAAAAACAACAACCTTTGTTCATGTTTCGAAAGGACGAGGAATAGAGTTTAAAGCCCTTTTTTCTTACGCTCCAACTACTCCGAATATCTTCTCAAGGTTCTGGTAAGAGTGATCGTCTGGCAAATTCTCGGCCACAACAGTACGAGACTGCAAAACGAAACAACAGTTCTACGGTTTTATAAGTGTATACGTTGATATAAGAGGATTTCGAGATCTCCACCTGCAAATCTTCTCTGTTTTTCTCGGTGAAAGGGCTCCGACGCTTCACCTTCTTCCCGTCCTCAGACAAGATCTGTTCAAGTTTACTCAGGAATTCGATTACAAGAACCGGAAAACATATGTTTATGGTTGAAAGAAAAAAGGGCTTACAAGCTTTGAGGACGAGCGGAGAGCAATGGAAACCATGTGGTGGTTACTCGTCAGAGCCTTGATTTTCTTCGTGGAGGCGATGTAAGATATCGGCACTGCACCAGGAGACAGAACAAAAAAACTCGGAACTCGCATTCATGTCTTGTATGGTCGAAAACTGTTTGAGAAAAGGTTAAGGTCTTTACCGTAGCCTTCGGGATCTTTGCTTATATGCTTCGAGATCGATTCGTTGGCTAAGACGCTTATATCGGTGAACTGATATTCCACCTGTTTCAAATAAAATTTCAGAAACTTTTTCCAAATTCTCGAGCCGAATCTGATGTATCAAAAACGATATTGCCTTTGATTTCTCCACATCTTTCCGGCTGAGAGCTCGGAGATTAAAACGATGATTTCACGACGTCGAATGAGACGAAAAATTTTTCCCGTTCTCCGTTGGAAACAGAGGGATGGAAGAATTCAGACAAGAAGAGAAGTGCAGAAACAGAAATTAGTGCGATGTTTCTTGTCCCTCAAGCGATTGATGGATCGATCAAGAGGCGAAAATCTGCTGTTCTTCTTTGATACATTAGAATTTTGAAAGCAAATTTCTGTAGATTAGTGTTTGATTTAACTCCGTATCTGAATCCGAAGCAATCGAGAAACACATCAAAAGAGAGATTTCGAAATTGCAAATCTGGGATTTGAAATGATCAAAACCTGTTTGACGATCTTTAGGCGGAGATCGTCGGAGAGCAACGGTGAATTCTTCGACGAGGAGGAAGGATTCGGATTCACGGCCGGATTCGAAACATAGAACGCCGCCGGATCCTGGAGGTGATGCTGAGAAAGATCTCCGACGAAGACCCAATCGGAATCCGGAGCTCCGCCGCCGCCGAGGTACTGGAAGAAAGGACAGAAGTAGCCGGAGACCGGAACCTGCGCCGCCGCCGGCATGTGCGATCGCGGCACGAACTCCGGCGCCTGGGCATTGAACTTGAACGCCGTCGCCTTCGCCGGAGAATCTCCTCCTCCGCCGCCTCCGTAGAAGCTCTTCGTGGTCTCTTTCATGGCGGATTCCGTTTCTTTCTTCAGCTGCGCCATTTTTTTTTAATTTAATCTGGTTAACTTTTTCCCCTTCTTCACTAAGCAAAAGTTAATCTATGGATTTGTTTCTAAATTTTTTTTGTATGTTTTTAATTTTCTTTGATTTAGAATTTTTATATAATAAGAGTATCAAAATTAGTGTTTCTTTGGATTTATGGTGTTTTTTTTATAAATTTTGTTTTATTTTTCTCCCTGAATTTCAGAACACTTGGAAATTTCTAAGCCACGTTTCCCGCGCAAAATATGGGGTTTTCAAGAGACAAACCAGCTTAAGAAGTTTGACCGTTTATATCGTTTTATTTTGTTTTGCTTTACTTTTTTACAATTATTTTATTCTATTATTTCATTATATCTTTATCTTATAAAATGTTATTTTTTTTAATTAAAATTATAGAAACCAGAAGGCATTTACTTGTTTAAGATTTCCGACAGTTGGTTTACAAAACATTCTTCTATTTTCTGTCACTTTTAGAAATTAATTGTTCTGTACTAAAATATCTAACAAAAAAAAAGAACTAATCATATAAAAATAAATTCTAATAAATAAATGATGATGGATGTCTTCCTTGTACTGTTGTAAGTTGGGAAAAGCCAAAGGGCTATCCTGGCTTTCGATGGTTTCATAGGAGCGATACAAATTGTGATCCCGATCTCGTGGATATTTCTATTCGCAACAATGAGCAATTAATCAAGTCCGACAACGGGTTTTCCAACAAGCTTTACAAGGAGGTGGGGTACCCAAAAATATAGCCAGAAAGGCTATTTCAATAGCGCCATAAAAAATGCTTGTTGGACAGAGTATTTCGAACACTTGGCGAAGTAAAAGCGATCAAAGCTGCTGGGTGAAGTAGAAGGTCTGAGAGGCAAAATGGGTATTTTGTAAGGGTTGAAGTAATGAATCCAGGGTAGGGTTTTCATTGGTTCTCATACTTGTAATTTCTCGGTTTTGGTTCTTTTCTCTCTGGCGGCAAAACTCTTTGGTTCTTCATGGTACTCTTTATGGTGTCGTCGTCGACGATGTCTAGTGATGGTGTTCTTTGTGTAACCCTAGCGACCAACGCTTTTTTCTCTTCCCGATACATAGACCCCCGAGTTTTCACTCGATAACCGAACTCGTACATCATGTGTCGACTCTTTCTCTTTTCTGTTTTTGATACAAACGTGTGAATCAGAGTGTATCGGTGAAAGATTAGAGTAAAAAACCACAACAAATGATCTTTCAAAATGTTGTAAAAAATTCTAAATTCAGGTTGGACATTTCAATTCACATATACAAAATCGGTATATCTAATAATTGAATATATCATTACAAAAAAAATTGATATATCCTTTTTATATAGAATTGAAAGATTGCGATATCATATTAACTGATAGAAGGGTATATATGTAAATATATGTGTTTAGGATTTGTGTATGTAGATATATGTCTCATAATATATATATATATAGAAACCCTAAATACATATATTTACATATATAACTTCTATAATTAACATAGTAAAAAAATAATTAAAATTTTTAAATACTTATTTAATGACAACAGAATAAATTGAATAAAAATTCGGTATAAAATTAAATAGTTGTTAAGAAACTTACAAAATAATGAATGTCTATATTTACTCTTCTTGTAACATTTTTGTTATTTAATTCATAAAATGTTATTTCACATCTTTGTAAGCCTATAAATAGGTATGTGTAAACTATTTTCAAAACACACCAAGAAGAAAGAACAATAAAAGAAATACTCTTCATTCTCATATCTCCTTTTGTATTTTAGTTCTTATTATTTTTATAACACGTTATCAGCACGAAGCTTTTTCAAGGTAATTTTATTGTTATTTATTTATATATTTTCTTTTATATTATATTATAAAAATTATTATAACTAAGTATGCTCTACACTCACCATATATATGGATCTTGTGTATTAGAAAAGTTATAAATCTTTCTAATAACTTATATTTTTTCATTTCGATTATTTTTATAGTTTTATCATGTCGAATCTGACCAACCTCGACTTTGAAGTCCTTGTTATTACCGGCAAGAATTATTTGTCATGAGTGTTAGATGTAGAGATCCATTTGGAGTCTAAAGGTCTTAAAGAGACAATTTTGTATCGAATAAATCATCCAACCAAGATAAAGCGAAAGCAATGATATTTCTTCGCCACCATCTTCATGATGGATTGAAAATTAAGTACCTTACTCATAAAGATCATGCAGATCTTTGGAAATCACTAAAAGAAAGATATGATCATAAAAAAACTGTGATTCTCCCAAAAGCACGTTATGATTGGATGCATCTTCGCTTTCAGGATTTTAAATCTATTAGTGAGTATAATTCGGCTATGTTTCGAATCAGTTCACAAAAGAAATTGTGCGGTGAAACTGTTACTGATTCATATATGATGGAGAAAACATTGTCCACATTTCATGCATCGAACGTGCTCCTGCAACAACAATATCGTGAAAAGGGTTTTATAAAATATGGAGAATTGATCTCTTGTCTCCTTGTTGTTGAGCAAAATAATGAATTATTAATGAAAAATCATGAGTCTCGTCCTACTGGCTCTGCTCTATTCCCTGAAACGAATGTGATAGCATTCAATAATAATCGTGGTCGTGGTCGCGGTCGAAGCTATGGACGTGGACGTGGACGAGGGAGAGCAAAAGGTTATTTTTCTGGTGGCCGAAGCAACTATAATAAGAGGGATAAAACCCAAGAAAGCTATGATGGTGGAATGAATAAAAGGGTAAAGGAAAGTATATGCCACCGATGCGGGATGAAAGGTCATTGGTCGTGGACCTATCGCACTTCCAAGCATTTTGCTAATCTTTATCAAGAATCCTTGAAGACCAAAGAGAAAAACATTGAAACAAATTTCATTGCTGACGGTTCCAGTGATTTCACCGATGGTCTTGATGATCTGATACATCTGGATACAACTGATTTCCTTATCAATCCTGAAGATGGAAATAATCAGAATTGATCAAGATATTTTTAAAATAGGAATTTTATCTTAAGTTTTTATTATTGTTATGAACTATGTTTTATTTTATTATTAACATTTTTTTAAATATACTTATGCATTATATTATTTTTTTATTTAATTTTTCTTCTCTCTAGATTATGGATAAATATCATTCTGAGCTCCAAGTTGAGGATATATGTCTTATAGACAGTGCGACAATGCACACTATTCTTAAAGATAAGAAATATTTCTTGAATTTGAGAAATGATCGAGCACATGTCAATACTATATCAGGATGGACACAAATAATTGAGGGCTCTGGAAGAGCAAGTTTTATTATGCCAAATGGCACAAAACTCATGATCGAAAATGCATTATTTTCGCCTAAGTCTCAAAGAAATTTGTTAAGTTTTAAGGATATTCGTTCAAATGGATATCATATTGCGACTATGAATGAAAGAAATATTGAATATCTTTGCATTACCTCAACTATGATGGGTAAAAGATATATGTTAGAAAAACTACCCGCGTTCTCATATGGGTTATATTATATAACTATGAGAATGAGTGAATCATATAATACAATAAATTCAAAATTTACTGACATTATAACCAGAAGTTTACAGATGCATTTAAGGTTTGGCATGACAGATTAGGTCATCCTAGTTCAACAATGGTGTGAAAAATTATTAAGAATTCATGTGGTCATGTATTGAAAAACCAGAAGATTTTTCAATCCCACGAATTCTCTTGTGTTGCATGTTCCAAAGGAAAGTTGATAATAAGGTCATCACCAACTAAGATAAGAAATGAATCGTTAACATTTTTAGAACGAATTCATGGTGATATATGTGGCCCAATTCATCCACCATGTGGACCATTTCGATATTTTATGGTTCTGATCGATGCATCAACTCGATGGTCACATGTGTGTTTATTATCATCTCGTAATATAGTTTTTGCAAGGTTACTTGCACAAATAACGGTTACGGGCACATTTTCCCAATTATCCGATAAAAATAATTCGACTCGATAATGCTGGTGAATTTACATCCCAATCATTTATAACTTATTGTATGTCGGTTGGGATAAAAGTGGAACATCCTGTAGCTTATGTTCACACTCAAAATGGTTTAACAGAATCATTTATAAAACGAATCCAATGGATTGCGAGACCTATGCTTATAAAATCGAACCTCCCTATAGGGGCCTGGGGACATGTTGTTCTACATGCATCACAACTTATACGCATCAGACCAGCAAGTTATAATGATATTTCCCCGTTACAATTGATTCATGGTCAGGAACCAAATATTTTCCATTTACGAACATTTGGATGTGCGGTATATATTCCAATTAGTCCACCACAATGCACAAAAATGGGACCTCAACGGAGGATGGTAATTTATGTTAGATATGAATCTCCATCTATAATCAAATATATTGAACCAAAGACTGGAGATTTATTTACTGCAAGATTTGGAGATTGTCATTTTGATGAATCATTATTCCCAACGTTAAGGGGAAATAACAAGCAACTGGAAAATGAGATATCATAGAATGAATTATCATTAAAAGGTTTAGATCCTCGAACAAAAGATTGTGAACTAGAAGTTCAAAAGTTAATTCATTTGCAAGGTATTGCAAATCAACTGCCAGATGCATTTACTGACCACAAAAGAGTAACAAAATCCCATATTCCAGCTGTAAATGCTCCGATTAGAATTGATGTACATGAAGAACAACCTATGATTGTTAGTGAGTCTAAGGTACGCCTAAAGCGTGGTAGACCAATTGGTTCCAAAGATAAAAATCCCTGGAAAAGAAAAGGAGCAAACAATTATGATAATAAAAACGAGGATATTTCTCTAGAAGAGGCCGTTGACATTGTTAATAATGAAGAGAATCATGTACCTACAATTAATGAAAATGAAGAGATCTCGATTAACTATGTCAATACGGGGCGACGATGGGACCGAAATAATATAATTGTCGACAATATTTTTGTATATAATATAACGCGCGATATCAAAAACGAAAATGAGGATCATGAACCTACCTCTATAGAAGAGTGTAGAAATAGAAAGGATTGGCCAAAATGGAAAGAGGCAATCAAGTCTGAATTAGAGTCATTTAAAAACGAGATGTCTTTAGACCTGTAGTCCAAACACCAAAAGACATTAAACCAGTAGGTTATAAGTGGGTATTTATAAGGAAAAGAAATAAACAAAATAAAATTATCAGATATAAAGCATGACTTGTTGCACAAGGTTTTACCCAAATGTCCGGTATTGATTACGAAGAGACATATTCTCCTGTGGTGGATGCAATAACATTTCGATATTTAATATGTCTGGCAGTACATGAAAGACTTGAATTGCGCCTCATGGATGTAGTCACAGCCTATTTGTATGGATCATTAAATCATAATATTTTTTATAAAAATCCATGAAGGATTTATTAAAGTGCCTGAAGCACATATTGATACTTCCCGGGAGATTTATTCAGTAAAGTTAAACAAAGCGTTGTATGGATTGAAACAATCAGGACGAATGTGGTATAATCGTTTAAGTGAATTTTTAACCAAAGAAGGTTATAATAATGATCCTATATGTCCATGCGTGTTCATAAAAACCATAGGACCTAAATTTGTCATAATTTCTGTTTATGTAGATGATTTAAATATTATCGGTTCTCCTGAAGAGTTATTACAAGTTGTGCAATGTTTAAAAAAGGAGTTTAAAATAAAAGACCTTGGAAAAACAAAATATTGTTTAGGTCTTCAAATTGAACATCTAAAAGATGGAGTTTTCTTACATCAATCTACTTATTTGGAAAAAGTACTTAAAAGATTTTATATGGATAAAGCTCATCCATTAAGTACTCCCATGGTAGTAAGGTCATTAGATGTTAATAAAGATATGTTTAGACCTCGTGATGAAAATAAAGAACTACTTGGCCCTAAAGTGCCATATCTTAGTGCTATTGGAGCATTAATATATCTTGCTAATAATACACGTCCTAATATATCTTTTGCCGTAAGTTTGTTAGCAAGATATAGTTCTTCACCAACTCGAAGACATTGGAATGACGTGAAACATGTATTTAGATATCTTCGAGGGACCATAGATATGGGTTTATATTACTCCAGCATGACCAAATCAGATTTAATTGGTTATGTAGATGCTGGATATTTATCAGATCCGCATAAAGCCCGATCTCAATCAGAATATGTATTCACTTATTGTGGAACTACAATTTCATGGCGTTCTACAAAGCAAACTTTGGTTGCAACTTCAACTAATCACACAGAAATATTGGCGATTTATGAGGCAAGCCGATAATGTGTTTGGTTAAGATCGTTATCTCACCATATTCGGGGATCATGTGGACTTTCAACCGATAAAGATATTTCTACAATCTTATTTGAAGATAATACTGCATATCTAAGGTGGCAAAATGAAATATATTTCGCCAAAGTTCTTCTTCACTCATGATCTTCAAGAAAAATGTGAAATAAGTATTCATCAAATTAATTCAAGTAACAATCCAGCAGATTTGTTCACTAAGTCTCTACCCAGATCGACATCTGAAAAGATGGTACATATGATTGAGATGCGGCATTTGAGAGATATAAAATGATGTTATTTCTAGGGGGAGAAAAATATATGTACTGCACTCTTTTTTCCTTCACCAAGTTTTGTCCCACTGGGTTTTCTTGGTAAGGTTTTTAACGATGCAGTATCAAAACATATCTTTCGGTCAATAGACATTCAAGGGGGAGTGTTAAGAAACTTACAAAATAATGAATGTCTATATTTACTCTTCTTGTAACATTTTTGTTTTTTAATTCATAAAATATTGTTTCACATCTTTGTAAGCCTATAAATAGGTATGTGTAAACTATTTTCAAAACACACCAAGAAGAAAGAACAATAAAAGAAATACTCTTCATTCTCATATCTCCTTTTGTATTTTAGTTCTTATTATTTTTACAACATATAATTTTTCAAATTAACTTTATATATTCATCAACTTTAAAGAGAAAACATGAGAAACAAAGAGAGACAGAAAAGGATAAAATTGCTTTGACCCATCAGTTTTCACTAGAGGTGGACGTTTTAGGATTCAGTTTAGAATTTTAGTAGTTCGATTCGAGAACGGTGTATTCGGTACTCTAAAATTTGTACCAAATTGTTTTCACTAGAGGTGGACGTTTTAGGATTCAGTTTAGAATTTTAGTAGTTCGATTCGAGAACGGTGTATTCGGTACTCTAAAATTTGTACCAAAATAGTACTGTATATTATTCGGTTCTGGTTTCGATACGGTTCGGTTTCGGTTTTTGTTAAAAAATTTCGATTTTTTCAAAAAATTTATAAAGTTCGGTTCGGTTTGGTTTAGTTTCGAAAAATCCGATTCTATAAAAAATATATTGTTCAAAAATTTTTAATTATATGATTCGAAAAAAAATCAAAATTTTTGGTTCGGTATAGTTTGATATCTCTCCTAGTTTTCACCAAACAAATCTAAAACCATTTATTACTATAGAGGAGGAAACATATCTACAAGATTCCTTTGTACTGTTTTGGGCTCACAAAATGTGACGTCTCAATTAGCACTTTGTCTTTCTCCTCATATTCCAACTTAGGGTGGGCGTTTCGATATTCGCATCAGAATTTTAATGGTTCAGTTTGAGAATGGTTTATTCGGTACTCTAAAATTTGTACCAAATTAGTATCGTATATTATTCGGTTTGGTTCAGTTTCGATTCCGCTATGGTTCGGTTTCGATTCCGCTATGGTTCGGTTTCGATTTTTGTTAAAAAATTTTAGATTTTCTTAAGAGAATTTCGGTCTTCATAAATTTATAAAGTTCGATTTGGTTTCGGAAAATTCGATTCTATAACCGTTCGAGAATTTTGAATGGTACGATTCGAGAAAAATACCGAAATTTTTTGGTTCGATACAGTTCGATTCCGGAGAGCGAACGGAAACGCCTACCCTTAGTCCAACTTCTTGTTTTGTGTGTTTTTTTTTGTTAAAAGGTGTATATTAATTTCCAAAAAGATTACATAGTGTCTGCGAGTTACAATAAGCTGTGAGCTTAGAATGCAGTAGATAAGATTAGAGGAGAGATTCCTAGTGTACCGAAAACCATAGTTGGATGCTTCTACTCATAAGCTCCGGGTGTTTGGATCTTAAAGAAGCAATCCGATTCCGGAATAATCGGTCAATATCTCGCACTAGTGCTGCTTGGTCCGTGAAGATAGCACGATGAGTTCTATGATTCCTTTCTCGCCAAAGTAAATACGCCACAGTCTGTCAAAGTGTTGATATTGTCCACCTAGTTACTTTACAGTGTCCCAGGCTTTCAATCTTCGCAACAACAGATGCCCAGGTAGGATTGCCTGGGAGTCGTAGCAGCTTTCCGACATTGTTTAGCAAGACCTGTCGAGAGTAAGAGCAACAAAAGAAGATATGGTCTTTCGTTTTCGGGTGTAAGTTACACAGCAAACACATCGGTCCTAGTAGGACATCGATCGAGCATGAGTTCCCAACTTAGAAACGCATGTTTGGGAACATGAGACTTGAACCATATTGTTTTGTCCCAAGTAACAGATTGAGTTTCCCAAAATTCCAATGACCAGATCTGCTTCGATACAAAAGATGAAAGTGTTATTTCCCCAGCGTTCCACTTGAGCTCGTCGTGTGCAGAGGAGAGTTGGACAGAGGTGAGAGTAATGGCGAGTTGTAAGGCAGCTTCCGAGCGTGGAGCATCCATTGCCCAGGCCCCATTAGAATAAGCCTCGACAAGAGTAGCTTGTAGTGGTATTGCTAGCTGTGACGGACCTCTAGTGCTGAGGAATTGTAGAAGAGGACCATGCTTGGTCCACGGGTCGAACCAGAACTTCGTTTTATGTCCATTCCCGACAATCACGTGAAAGAAGGAGGCAGCCCATTGGCGGAGTTTTAGCAGTTTTCTGAAAGCCCAAGACTGAGTTGGCTTCACAGAGACAGACCAGAAACTGCTGCGTAGGAGATACTTCCGCCTAATCCATCCCACCCAAAGAGATCCAGCCCTAAAGAATAGACTCCAGATGAGTTTAAGAGCGACAATATTATTCCATCGTCTAAGGTTCCTAAGTCCCAATCCCCCCTTGTCTTTCGGCATTGTGACCTTCTCCCATGCAACCCTTGCCCCCCTTGTCGGCTCAGACTTCCGCTTCCAGAGGAAGGCTGAGTGTTGGAACAAATGTGACTCAAGGCCACGTCACATGAGCTGGAGACAAATTGTCAATTCAAATGCGTGATTCAAGGCTAAGGAAGATCAGTTTCCAGATTCTGTAAAAATCTGGCACTATCATATCTTTCCTATTTTTCTTTGCAAGATTTTAGGATATTTTGATTTGATTTGATTTAGCTAGTATATTTAGAGTTGATTTGATTTTATTTCTATTATTAAGTTTTTGTCTGCTTTCCTATATATGTAATTGTTTTCTGATGAATAAAATTAGTTGAGTTTTCTCAAATTTCTTTGTTCTCTGTTTGTATTTCTGTAACAGAGTTTCTGTTCGAATTTGAGTGCTCACTCACCCAGACCGAAGTGCCACTGATCCTTATCTCGGGTCGAACAGTGGTATCAGAGCGCCCGTTGATTCTATAGGGATCTGAGGGTTATCAAAGCTGACGATGGATTCGAATTCTCCCCCAGTTTTTGATGGAGAAAACTACCAGATGTGGGCTGTGAAGATGAAGGCATACATGAAGGGTGCGGATCTGTGGGAAGCTGTCGAAGAAGACTATGAGGTGACTCCTTTGGGAGCAAATCCGACGCTGAACCAAATGAAGATCTATAGAGATAAGGTAACGAGGAAAGGTAAGGCTATGTCATGCCTCTTTGCCTCGGTACCATCCTTTATTTTCACTAAGATCATGAATATGACCAACGCGAAGGAGATGTGGGATTCTCTGAAAGAAGAGTATGAAGGGGATGAGAAGATACGGGGCATGAAGGTTTTGAACCTGCTCCGGGAATTTGAGAGACAGCAGATGAAGCCAAACGAGACAGTAAAGGTTTATGTTGATCGTTTGATCAGCATTGTGAGCAAGATAAGGATCTTGGGCACTGAAATGACTGATGAGAAGATAGTTCAGAAGGTGATGGTGTCTGTTCCAGAGCGTTTTGAAGCAACCCTTGCTTCCTTGGAGAACACTAAGGAGTTGTCACAATTGAAACTACCTGAAGTTCTTAGTGCTCTACAAGCGCAAGAGCAAAGAAGGCTGATGAGAAAGGAGGAGTCAGTTGAGGGAGCGTTGATGGCCAAGGCGAAAGCAAAGTGGCCAGAAAAGGAGAAGCAGAATCAGAAAACGAAGATGGATGCTACTCATAGCAAGGTAACGTTTTCTGAATCTGAGAAAGATGTTGATCAAGGCTTCTCTGAACCTTGTAAGCATTGTCAAAAGATTGGTCATCCTCATTGGAGATGTTGGAGAAATCCCAACATCAAGTGTCGAGGGTGTGGTAAATCTGGGCACATTGAGCGTTTCTGTAGAAACGAGAATGCTCAGATCATTGTAGAAGATTCTGGAGAGGTTGAAGAAGAGGTTGAAGATCTGTTTGTGGCATCGTGTTTTGGTTCTGGATCTGTCAAGGATGGATGGTTAGTGGATAGTGGTTGTACTAACCACATGACAAGAGATAGAAGCTCATTCAAGTGGATTAACACGATGTTCAAGTCGAAGGTCAGAATTGGAAATGGCGAGTTCATTTCAATGGAGGGAAAGGGAGATGTATGGATCAAAGGGTCGGATGGCACGAAGAAACTGCTGACAGGAGTGTTGTATGTGCCAGGGCTACTTCAAAATCTCCTAAGTGTACCTCAGCTGGTGATTAAGGGCTACAAGGTAATTTTTGACAAGAATGAGTGTGTTATTGGTAATGACACAACCCCTGTTCTATTTAGGATGCCTATGAGAAACAAGAGGTTCTCATTTTCGATGAAAAATGTGGGATATGATGCATTTGTGAGTCAAGAGTCAGAAGATAAGCTCGATGGAAAAACTGCAGAAGATGTGTCAAAGGCATATCAAGTAGATTTGTCTGAGATGAAAAAGGAAGTAGTGAGCAAGGATGTCAAGTTTGTTGAGTCTGAAGGATTGAAATGGCAAGACTTCGGTGAGGATGAAGAGTCATTCACAAAAACCGAAGGGCCACTGACAACTGATGCTGAACCTCAAACTCAGCAAACTGAAAATCATGTGCAGAACGCTGACGAAATTATGGAGGCTGAAGATGTTGAATCTGATGATGATGTTCCTGTCAGAGGTACAAGAACACTGCAGGAAGTTTATGGAAGATGCAATGTGGCTATTCTTGAGCCATCTAGTTATGAGGAGGCAAGAAACGACAAGAGTTGGAGAGATGCAATGAAGGAGGAGCTCAAGATGATAGAAAAGAGACAGATTTTTTGGATGAAGCTTACAAAATGTGATGAGTTAAATCTGATTCGATATTCAGATAGTGAATGGGATGGTTTTGCAAATAATGTGAAAAACATTGAAGAACAAGAAGCAGTTTTGTTCATTAAGGGGTTGCATGATGGAAGGTTGGAGTTGTTAAGGAGCATGATCGAAGTGTGTGCGTGGCCTTTCGTCAAGGAGGAGATTGTTGGAACAAATGTGACTCAAGGCCACGTCACATGAGCTGGAGACAAATTGTCAATTCAAATGCGTGATTCAAGGCTAAGGAAGATCAGTTTCCAGATTCTGTAAAAATCTGGCACTATCATATCTTTCCTATTTTTCTTTGCAAGATTTTAGGATATTTTGATTTGATTTGATTTAGCTAGTATATTTAGAGTTGATTTGATTTTATTTCTATTATTAAGTTTTTGTCTGCTTTCCTATATATGTAATTGTTTTCTGATGAATAAAATTAGTTGAGTTTTCTCAAATTTCTTTGTTCTCTGTTTGTATTTCTCTAACAGAGTTTCTGTTCGAATTTGAGTGCTCACTCACCCAGACCGAAGTGCCACTGATCCTTATCTCGGGTCGAACACTGAGCAAATAGAATTTATTTGCTTGATGGTCTGCTTTGGGATGATGAAAGCATTGCACCAATAGGATAAAATACCAGAGATAACAGAGCTCAGCAGCTGAATTCTTCCCGCAAAGGATAAGATTTTCGCAGACCATGACTCAATCTTGCTGCGTATTTTGCTCAATAGAGGAAGACAGTCTGCAGATGAAAGCTTTTTCGAAGATAGGGGGATACCTAAGTATCGAAAAGGAAGCTTTGAGAGAGAAATGCCGGTATTCGATGACATGACCTGGGCTCTCTCACTTGAACAACCTGCGATGTACAAATTGGACTTTTGTTTGTTCACATGAAGCCCCGATGTTGTGCTATAGATGCTCAAAGTCTGCAGAATAGTTTGCAGCGAGGAGTCTGAGCCGTCCGAGAAAACAAGCAAATCATCAGCGAAGGCTAGGTGGGTTATCCTCAGATCTTGACATCCCGGGTGGTAATTCAGAGTTCCGTCTAAAGCAACCTGATCAATCATCTTGGAGAGAACATTCATGCCAAGAATAAATAGATAAGGGGATAACGGACAACCTTGGCGTAAACCTCTAGTGCCCGGGAAGAAACCATGAAGACCACCGTTGATGGCAATAGAGTAGTGAGGAGAGGTGATGCAAGCTTCGATTGCACAGATTAGACTACTAGGAAGACCAAAAGTATGGAGGACAGCGAGGATGAAGTCCCATTCCATTGAGTCAAACGCTTTGGCGATGTCTAACTTCAAAGTAGCTCTGCTTGAGATCCTTAGCTTGTGGTAACTTTGGACAATTTCTGCAGCTAGAAGACAGTTCTCAGTTATACTATGGCCTTTGATGAAGGCAGACTGGTTCGAAGGAGAGATGGCCTCCACCATAGGCTTGAGACGAGAAGCCAGAAGTTTTGCGATGATCTTATAGATTGTATTGCAACACGAAATCGGTCTGAAATCTCGTAGATGTTCAGCTCCTGCTCTCTTAGGGACAAGAACCACCGCAGTAGCATTTATTGATGGAGGAAGGAAGCCACCTTTCAGGAAGTTTTGTTTTGTGTGTTTCTATGTGGAATTTGTATGTTTGTGGTATTTCTCAATATATATATATGTATATGGAAATCAAGAAGCTTTTTTAGATCTTCTCTTCCTATTCAAGTAAAAAAAATGTAGATGACAATTATGTTATAAATTACTAAAATAGAATATTTTTTTAGAAATACTAGTACGTTCCCACCACAGTTTGGATCGAATAAATGAGATTATCGACATAAATGATTGAAATATAATAATATGAATTATTTGTTATATATTACCAATAACTGTTGCAAAAAAACTCAATTTAAAATAAACAAATGAAATTCTAAACTCAAAAAGAATTATTTTTTTAAATCTGTATGAAAAAAATGGAATCAAAATTTCATTTTTAAAATTTTAATTTTAATAAAAATAATTACAGTTTCAAACATATTGATAATCATTTGAATTTTTTTATTATCTTTTGTTGTGTCAAATTTATTAATTTGATTTTAAAAATCAAATCTAAATTTTCTATATTTTATTTAAAAAATCAAATCCAATATAATAACCTACTTTTTTTTGTTTATACAACTAAACCAAAATGTTCAACCTTGTTTGATAATTTGGTAGTCCAAAAGAAAATATATAAATGTCATTACCGTTTTCCCATGGGCCGCGATTTACTGATCAGACCGAAATACATCTCAATGATCTGATGCTTATGCGTCAACCAGTATTTTAACATAAAAGAAAAAACGTCAACGAAAGGAATATATATATATATATATATATATATATATATATGGTTTTCTATTGAATTCAAAAGAAGAACAATAACACTAACACTAATGCCCCAGTAAACCCAAAAAAAAAATAACAGAACAAAAAAAAGCCGGTACAAAAGGATAGGACTAAATTCTGCAAAATTGTACCATCCTCACACTCACTCAATCCCTCTTCTTCAATTTTATAATTCTCTCCGTGTTCATCAACCGTTTTTGCGATTGTTATTTGTACTCACTCTCCAATGTACTAATGATGATGATGATTGGTGTAATGGAATTGATTGATGTCTGAGATTACCCAAAATGGAATTCAGGCCTTGGCATGTTTGGAATCATGGTGATCTCTCCAGCTGAAGCTCTCAGACTTAGTTTCTTCATCCTCTTCCATGCTATCTCCACCTGTTGTTGTAGTCATTGCTAGTAGCAGAGGACCTTGTGGAGAACCTGACTCCGGGCTGCTTCCTTTCGAATTTTCTCCGGAGTTCCATAACTTACCCCCCAAAACAACTACCGACTGTTTCTCGAGGGTCTCGCTAGAATTTGAATTCCCGGGGTGAAGCTTCCGTGCATGCAACCGATATTTCTGTAATCAATCAGCCCAATGAAAAAGGAAAGATCTTCTTCCATCATTACATTCAATGAAATACCGAGAACAATGTGGAAATGATCCAACTTTTTTTTCCCCTGATTTCACCCTTTTTTCAGGATCTCAAGTTGGCTTCATTTGCAAGATTCAGTCTACTGTTGCTTTCTTCTTACTCTAACCTTTTGGCAATAATCAGGCTTTCAAAGGGAAGCAAGATAGAGAGAGAGAGAGAGAGAGATGAGAACAGCTACCTGTAAATGACTCTTCACTTCATCATTTGTTAAGCCTTCCACTTGCATAAGCTCACGGATTTGCTTTGGAGTTGCCACTGCACCAAAAGAAGAAGATACCATCTTTGGTACAAAGATTTCATATAAAAATGTAATAAAAACCTAACCAATCTTCAACCTGCTCAAGTATATTCTCATTCGACGATGAAACAACAAAAAGATCATGTGAGATTGAAAAGGGGTTCTTGTCTCACCTTGAGGACCGCCGAGCTCTTGCAAGGCATTCAGAAAACTGCGATGAAGGTCAGGAGACCAACACCTCCTTTGCTTCCGTGAAGTCTGTTGAGAAAGTGATGGAGGAGGCAGCCTTATAACCGATTGTGCATTCAAATTCACTTCAGGGGCTGAAGAAGGAAGGCTCAGACTTGCCACCAATCCGAGACTTGAACCAGTTTCCTCCTTCCCATTCTTCATGGCAGGACTCAACAGAGACAATCTTTGAGCAGATGAAATCTCTTCCTCTCCGTTCCTCGATGAAAAACTTTCAAATCCTTTACATGGCAAAAAGGGTCTCGAACTGGATCCATTAGTTAAATTCTCCTCATTTCTCTGCTGTCATCAGATCAAGAAAACTTCACAAACTTAGCCCTGCATAACCAGAATCTATTCTATTCTCTTAAAATGTTTCTCTAATCCTAATTTCCCAATTGGGATCTCAATCACAGTACCTTTGATTCTACTCTGCAAGTGATCCTATGATCCGAATATTTCCGGTTAACGGGATTGGAAGTGTAATAATCTGGTTTCCACAGCTGAAAAGAGCTCACCCAGTTCGTCTTCTCCCTCGTTTCCTTGTCTCTCTTGATCCATTTCGTACTGTTTCCCTTTTCTTCTTCGTCTTCTGTTTCTTCATCGTCTTTGTCCTGTTCCTCTTCTCTGTTTCGCTTTTTCAAAGGGATAAATTCTTCCAAAACTGGTCCAACATTTCTCGCCGAGAATTTCTTAGTTTCCTCCTTCAAAAACGATATCGCTGCAAAAGCAAAACAAGATATAGATCATCAATCCGGTAAATCAGATTCTACAAGGAACCCATCAATCAAAATCCCAAAGTTCCTCAGAGGAATTGTGTCAAAACACTAACAGAACGTTCTGGTTTCTCTGGGAAGAGAACTAGAGAGAGAACAAGCGAAGAGACCAACCATCGTTTAACAAGAGCATGCAGAGAGGAAGCTCGCGTTTGAAGCCATCGATCTTCTTCATCTCTCCTTCAAACTCTTTGACGAAATCTTCGAGTTTCGAAACTCTCTCTGAAACATCTCCGATAGCCGAAACCTCCTTCAAGAAATCGCTGATCGTTCTGGGTTGGAAACTGGGTCTCAAATCCAAACTCAGCTCATCCCCAAGAGAACCCATTTCCGAAATCGATCCTAAACTCAAGAAATTTCCCCAGAAACCTCAAAAGTTCCCCGGAAAATTTCGGGTTTCTCGAGAAAAACTTCGAATCTCCCTCCAGTATGTTCCTCTCTAATCGTCTCCGATCTCAGCGTAGTACGCATCGATTAGAGATGGAATGTAGCAGCGGAGGGTGAAGAGATCTGTGAGAGAGAATTTATAGAAGATGGGATAGGAATGAGAATCTTGGTTAGGTAGCTTTGCGAGAGAGATGTGAAAGAGATCAGAGAGAGGAGGCGAGAAAGTTGTGGAAATGGCGATAAACACTTGGGAAAGTAAAAAAGATTCTGTTTTGTGGCAAATCTCACGCTCGCGTCGTCGCATATGTAAAATGTTCGAAATTTATTAGAACTTACTAAATAAATATATCTATAAAATTAAATATATCTATAAAATTGCAAAATAATATATATATCTTTGTAGAATTATTACGAAATTTGTTGGATAAAGAATAAATAAACTAGGAAGAATGGATTTCTTATTTAAATTATTCAAATATTTGAATGTATTATAAAATAAAAGATAATATCATATATTAATTTACAGTCAAAATGTTATAAACGTTACAAACCATTTGTTCATAAGGATTTGAATTTTTTTCTTCTTATAAAATATTATTTTATTTGTATATGATATTCTTTTATCAATATATTTATATTGTTTTATGAACATTTAAAAAGAAAATAGATGGTGGGTTCTTTCTAGCAAAAACATAATAATAATAATAATAATAATAATAATAATAATAATAATAATAATAATAATAATAATAATAATAATAATAATAATAATAATAATAATAATAATAATAATAATAATAATAATAATAATAATAATAATAATAATAATAATAATCTTATAAAAATATAATTATGCATTTAAAATTACAATTGTTAACAAAAATATAATATGTGTTCAGAATCTTTTTAAGTTTTATATTTGCTCGAGATTTTATATATGTCATTTATATTAGTTGGGTTTAAGTATATATTATTTGATGGAAAAAATTTAATAATTTAGTATAAATTTATAGAATCAAGTGAAGATGTCATTTAATTGGGAGAATGACGTAGTTGGTTGAGAAAAATATGATATCTTTATTCCAGATTCCATATGTTCCAATATTGATTCGAGAAAAATAAAGAATTTAATTGTGGTACATACTATTTATTTTTGAATTTTGAGAGATATAATTAGATCAAATATTCGATAAATTTTTTATATAAAAAATGAAGATGCCATACGGGATTATTTGATTGGTTGGTTTAATATATTGCATATTATTAGATGTGACATTTTGTAACTACTTTCTTAATTTGGTTCATTTTTCAAAGCAGGTGTTTCAATGAATATGGATATTTTGTAATTCTATATATATATATATATATGTTTGTATAGCTAAAAAATAATAATGATAATATATGATCTCTTTATTATGATTATTAGTATATTCATTTGCATTGTGTAGGAATAATTTCTAGGCTTTTGATGAAACTGAAGAAAAAATATGACGTCTCCCGAATTATATCACACTTCAAACCATAAGATTCCTTTCTCTTTCTTATTCCATTGAATTGAGAATCTTTCCCACTCATCAATCATTCAAAATATTTATCAATTTTATCATGTGTTTCTCTCCTAACACACACACACATATATATATACACACATATACCATTCTCTATCGTATTGACAGAATCAAGAATCTTTCCCACTTATCAATCATCCAAAAGATCTATTAATTTTGTCACGTGTTTTTCTCTCTAAATACCATATAAATGTTGGGATTCCTGGGATCTCATGAGCGAATCTAATTCCTAAGAGATCGATTCTAGGGTTTGTGCAGCGGAAGTAAAACAAAAATTTATAGAACCCTAGAACCATGCTGCTATTGAATTCGTAGAAACGTTAGAACGCTTACCTCAATCGATCCGGGGCCTGTATCAACTGAAGAAGTCGTTTGATCACGAAAGGCAGGAAGAATACCTCGCCCTCTACACGTATCCACACCTCGGGATGGATTCCAACGATTGGAACTTGGCTGCTAGGACTCGAATCTCTATTCGATATGTGCACCGAGAAATCTCGAGACTTAGAACTCGTTTTTGGATCTCCAAAAACCCTATCTTTTCTGCCAAAAGTCGGCTGCTCAAAGTCTCTCTCTAATTAGGGTTCTTAATCTCCTCCTTATAAAGTGATTTAACCCTAATTTCGGTTTAATTTTCGGAAAACCGGAACCTGGAACGGACGGTCCAGAATTGCACGTGGACCGTCCGTTCCAGTAAGGCAGAACGGACGGTCTACGTTTAGTGCGGACCGTCCGTTCTATCCT